AATGAACATAACTGAGGACCTATTGGGGGCATCCTTTCCCAAGAGTGAAAAGACCATCCACTAGATAGCATAACCACCTCAGTTCCTACACCACCCAAATGAAAACAAACAATCCTCATTTTACAGGCTGATTTGAAGGATTAAACGGAAGAGAGCTGTTTCCAGAACACCAGCGCATTTTGAGCAGTCAATGGGGAGAACGAGAGTCCCACCAGCATAAGACTCAGAGCCTCAGAGAATCAACAGCGGAGATCAGGCTGCACTCAATCACTCCTCCCTAGTTTTTCCCAGGAGGAAATGGGAGGAGTCATTTCCAAAGGAGGCAAAAGATACCCTCAGACACTGAGCGGTCGGCTAGAATGATCCATTCAATTTCACAACCCACCAACACTGAGGATAAGACTCGGCCCCCTAAGATGAATTGGGAAATTGAGGTTTAAATAAGAAATAGATTCACCTGCCCTGACCAGTGTGGCTCAGCTGGTTAAGCGCCATCCTGCAAAGCGAAAGGTTGCTGCTTCGATTCCTGGTCAGGGCACATGCCTGGGTTGCAGGCTGATCCCCAGTTGGAGCATGTGTGAGAGGCAACCATTCGATGTTTCTCTCCCTCTCATACACCCTCCCTTCCCCTCTCTCTAAATAAAATAAGTAAAAAGAAATAGATGCACCTGGGGTCACAGAGGTAGTCCTAAACTTCCCCGGGGAACTCTGTCCTAAACCTCCCCCGGGGTGGGTAACAACGTGCTCCGCACTGATATTCTAAGGAGGCAAAGGGCACAGTGATAAGTATGGAGGGAGGTCAGTTTGCTTGCTTAAGGTTGAGACTTGGCTCCATCACCCACCAGCTGTGGAATCTTGGACAAAGTCCTTACCCTCCCACATCTTCGTTTCCTAGTGGAGGAAGCTTCCTCCACCGGGAGGAACTACCCCTCTGGGTTGTCATGAGGGAGAAAAGGGCCCACCTGTCCTAAGCACTTAAGTGATGCCTCATCTGAGTAGGCACTTACTAAGCATTAGCTACCATCCTCCTCATCGTTATTCTTTCCCATTCTGTTACTTTCACAAGCACAAATCCTAATGTCCACAAAGCCTCTTCCCTGGGAGAGCCTAGTGCCACCTGATCCTGGGACAGGGGCCAGGGACTCAGGAAGCCTTTCTTCCAAGGTGCTTCAGTCCGAGCAGGAAAGCAGCCTCTCCTCCTGCAACCAGGCCTCTGCTCCGGGAATTAGGACCCCCTGCCTGCCTTCACTTTTAAGATCCACCTCTTAGCACTTAGCAGCAGAGCCCCCTTCAGTCTCCCTGCTGACTCTACCTTCCTGCCTCAACCCGAATGCTACTGCCCGGGCTGCAAGGCAGGGAGAAAGAAGAAGAGGCCTGGGGGAAGGGAGGGCATCAGGTGGGAGCTCGGGGTAGGAAGCAGTGGCGCTCGCAGCCTCTGAAGAGGTGGCGTCCGCGAGGCTCTGCGCGGACCAGTCATTGCTCCATAGAGCCTGCAGGGCAATTACGCTAATCCTGTGCATCTCCCAAACAGCCGTTTGATTTATTAGCACGGCGCCTTTTTAAAAACGCCACTCTTAAATATAAATAACACTTAATCATCCAGCTGTCGTTAAATTCATGTTCTATTGATTTCTTGGAGTGCCACAAATTTGAGGGCGAATGGGCTGGCGGATGTGCGCACAAAGCCAAGCGGTGGATTAGCAAGTGGTGGGGAGGAGGAAGGAAGCGGGGTGTCCAGGAAGGGACGGTCGCCCCGTTCAACCGCTCCAGGGTCCGAACCAGTCTCCCACTGGGTAGCACTGGACACGAATACGGAGAGGAGAGGGGAGCCTGAAAATTAATGACACATCTGTTGCACCGGCGAATCACAGCCTGGATCATGGGAGGCTGGCTGTATGGCTGCCGCCCGGCCACCGCCCATCACAGAGCTACTCCAACAGGTCTGCAAGGTGGCATGATGGGTGTAGTGCAATCTCTGGGTGAGGACAGGGAGAAGCCGCTAAGAAATGCCTTCTGGCTGGCCAGGAGGAGAGAGATTGGCTGCAGTTTCTTTGCATGGAAGCCCGGTGATAACTAGGAGCTAAGAACAGTTAATCACCCCGCCCCCTTAGCTCTCTCCCCACTTCAGGAACTGCTGCCTCCCTAGAAAGCCCCACTGAATTCCCAGCAGCCCTCATTGTGATTACAAAGATCAGGAGGCCAAGTGTAGGCAGAACGTGCCACGCAGATTTCCCCGTCTGCAGGGAGCAGCCGGCGATGGAGAGGTGCCGAGCAAGAGAAAGGAAACACGCCGGTGGCCTCGGATTCCTCCGGAAATATTTGCAGAGGGTCGGTGGGCATGCAGGGTGAAGTCCTGGGAGGACGGAGGCCGGCCGGGAGCGAGTACCGGGTTGGGCAAGAAGGAAGAGTTCGTGGGCAGCCCATGCTGCCTGCAGCCCAGCCCAGCAGGAGCGAGGGGCTGCCGAAAGGAAGCCTTCACGGTTGGGGGTTTTCTAGTGCAACTCCTTCCTGCGTGAGAAGGCCCCAGAGAACTTAAAAGGAAGACCACAGAGGAGTGGTGGGGAAGGGAGAGTGACAATGTGACGCGGGGCTGGAGAGCCAGGAAAAACTGGATGATGAACAGCCGGCTTTACACGGACGTTAATTAATGCTCGCTTTGTCCTAGAAACCAAATCGGTACCTAACACTAAGTGCGGAAAGCGTGGGGACTTTTTGAACCCATGTTTAGAAGAAACCTTGAGCTTATAACCAGCATAGTGACTGCTGGCTTTGCATTAAAATGCCGGATCCTGAGGCTGTAAGTGTATGAGAAAGGAAAGAGACTGGAGAGGGCAGCAGAGAAAGGAGCAGACATGTGGAAGGAGGCACAGACATTTTGGGAAGCTCTGTCCCCCACCTTTTTGCCCCTTCAAGGTCCCGTGAGGGAATGTTTACCTGGGAACCACCCGCTGTTGCTGGAGTTCACTATTTCCGTTGAAAACCATGTGCTGCTCTACGCATACGTGGGACCTCCCTGTCCATGCTCTCAAGGGGCATGCGTGTGAAAACGTTCCAGTTCTTCCACAGCCCGGAAGACAGAGGTGGGTCCCATTGCCACACATGGTTGCAGACCACAGATAGGCAGGCTCTTTGAGAACGCCTCTGTATATCTGGATGTGTGTGTGTGTGTGTGTGTGTGCATACACCCACCATTCTTAAAAAGAAAATACAGCTCCTTCCCCCTACTGGGTTCTCCCCATTGTGACAGCTTTGCTTTATTCCATCTACCCTTTTCAATCAATCAAAGGGCGGCTCACACAGCACACAGCCGGAATACAATCTCCCTCCCGGGGCGTCTGCTCTTCTCCCCAGCCTAGCGAGAGACCTTTGCAGCAGCTATAAAAAGTTTGAAAATAGCAGAGAAGGGGGTGCGGAGAGAACCCTTCATTCCAGCACCCATCTTTGGGATTTACAGAATCAGCCCAATCCTGTCCCTGGCTCTGGGGCCCCCGGGGCCAACAGAATGCTAATCCCTTTCCGCTGGTGTTCTGGAAGACTCTCACCATAGTACTTTCCCCACTAATGGGTTTGTAGGACACGCTGAATGTATGGTCTCCTAGAGCAGGTACGAGTTTATTCCACGTCTTTTCAGGTTGACCAACAAGGAACCCCAATACGACAGCCATGGAAGCATGGGACCTTGCCGTATTTATGTTTGACTCCAAAACAATGTTTTATTTGGATCTCATATTCTGCTTCCTATAACAACGGAGCCCTGAATGAACTGCTCTTTGACCCCCAAATGAAAACTAGAACAAGGCCCTTTTGGGGCCCCAACCACCTCCAACCTCCTCCAGAAAAAGTTTGAAAATAAGTGCCCCCAAAACTCCAGCCAGGGAGAAAAAGGAAAGAGAAGCTTCCAGGGAATCGAACCTTGAACTACAGGCTGCTGGAGGGCGATCCTACACTGCCCGGAGCAGCCGGGCTCTGGGGGACGCTGGCAGACCCAAGAATGCCTTGCCTGTTTATAGGGTGGGCTCTGCTGAGGTCGGCATGAGAGAGGGGATCCTCCCCTTTTCCTTCCTTCACTACACCCTCGTGGGCCCTCACTTTCAGATCTTTTGCTCAGACACACACCCCGAAAGGCATGTGGACAGGTGTTAGCCAGAGGCATAGCGGATACTTTGCAGCGCGGTGCAGAGGGAGGGTAGGGGGGTGAACGGGAGACCCAAGTCCTGTGTCCTTAAGCCCTGCCGCCTTTCTGTCGCCCAGAGACTAAAGGTGTGCGTAGGTCATACCTTTCATGGAAGATGTGACCCCGACACCCTCCCTTCATAAGCAACACACACCCCCCAAGCGATGCTTAAGCTCGAAAACCGGCGCATTCCGGGGAAGCAGTGCCACGCTTCGGAAAAGCGGCTGTGCTGCCTCTTACTGGGGAAACGCAGTCTGCTTCACATGCACCGCCCTACGGAACTGCAGCCCCATCCGCCTCCGTGGCGTCCTCCGGGCGCGCTGGGCCACTACGCTCCCCAGATCTGTCTGCATATCTGCCGGTCTGTGGACCATTCAAATCCCAAGGTGTTCAAAGGCCAGGGAACAGGGATTACCCTGGGAGGGTCCCCAAAGCCTCCCATTACTTCTCCCGTTTTTAAAACCCGCTAGGGATGCAAGCGGCTGAGAACTGAAAAAATCACTCCCTCCGCCTGCCCGGGCGGGAGGGAGAGGCAGTCACACACAGAATCCCACCCTGAAAGTCCGGGGAAAGAGAAGTCTGAGTCCGGGAGCGTCAGGGAATGAACACGGGAAACACCTGCCCTGGCCGCGCAACACCTACGCGGGTGTCCAGGTGCGCTGTGGGCAGGTGCCTGTGCGCGGTGTGTGCCCGTGTGTATTTGTGTGTGTGCGCGTGTGTGTGCGTGAGCGTGCAGCGTGCTGGCTCCAGGGAAGCCCAGGACTCCAGGACCGAGCCGGGCATCTCCGCCGCGCTGCCCCCGCCGCTCGCCCGCCCGGCTCCTTACCTGAAAGCGCCGCTTTTGCCTCCTTCAGTGGGAGCGCCGCATTGACACTGCAGATGGTGCCGGTGCCGCTGCCTCTCGCCCTCTTCTGAACGTGTGCGTGTGCGCGCGTGTGGCTGCCTCCTCCAGCCCCAGCCCCGAACGCGAATACTCCACCGAGGCGCCGGGAACCCGCGAGGACGCAAGGAAAACGGAGGGCGAAATCAGAGCCTGCGGGGCTTGACAGCTCCTCTTGCAGCGTCCAAGGTGGGCGGAATGTCCAACAAAAAGGTCGGAAATTGTGGATCGATTTCAAGCACCCCTTTCTTCCACCCAATCCCGGAGCCTGAGCAGCAGCAGAGGCTCTGGGGGGCTGCGGTGGCGACTCGGGGCTGCCCCCCTTCGTCCCCACCCCCGAGGGCTGAATGTCCTTGATGCCAAGCGGGCACGGCGGCGTCACTCCGCGCCGCCCATGCTCGCCCGGTCGGGCCGCTGCCCGGGCGCGGCAAGTGCGCAGGGGACCCGCCGGGGAGCGCTCTCGGAGCCTCTGCGCGCCTCCCTGGGCAGCGGCGGCCGCCCCCCGGCAGCTCGCAGCCGGCCGCGCCGCTGCTGCCCCCGCCCCTGCCGGGGGATTGGCCGGGCAGTGCCGAGGGGCCGGGGCTAGGGGGCCGCGGGAGCCGCCGACTGCTCCCCGGGGAGGCGCGGGGCTGCGGTGGTGGCGGCGGTGGCGGCTGACGCTGCGGCGGCGGAGAGCGCGGCCGCGGGCCGAGCCGGGCCTCCCGGGCGCGCCCCCGGCCCCCTGGGCGGGCTGCTCGCAAAGTTTGCAGGGGGCAGGGAGCGGGGCCGCCGCTGGCTCGGCCACCGCCGGGGCTCCTGGGCTGCCTGCTGCCGCCGCGGCTCGCTGCTGCTGTGCATTGAAGCCCGGCCAAGCGCTGCAAAAACTCCAGCTGCCTGGCGCTCTCTGGGTCCTCCTCTTCTCGCTCCCGCCCTCCCTGCTTCCCTGCCTCCCTCCCTCGCCTCGCCTCCTCCCCTCCCCGCAGCCCGCCGCCGCTCCCTCTCTGGCTCGCTCTGGCTGGCTGGGAGCTCGCGGCTGACATCTAGACGGACCGAGAGCCGCCGGCAGAGGGGGCAGGGGGCGACTCCCCCGCACTCTGCGCCCGCTGCCGCCGCCCGCCCGGCCTGCGGGCCCTGGCACGGATGTTTGCGGACACCGATCTGGTCCCCTCGGCCCGCATGGAGCGACCCTGCCAGGGGCGATGTGCGGCAGAGAAGGGCGCATACATGGTGACACGGTCTCAGGGTGCGCCCTCGGAATGAGGCACACACAGCCTCTTGGCGCTGACAGTCCAGGGGACCTGCAAGGGTCCAGAGCTGACACAGGTGCACGCACCCATTCTCCATCAGAGTCCGGCCCCGGCACCCCACCAAGCGCCCCCTCCCCCCGCCCCGCCGCCATGGCACCCAAGGACAGAAGGCCTGGGTCAAGGAGCTTGAAAGGCCAGGTGCCCTAGAGCTTGCCTAGTAACTTATCTAGTCATGTTTATATTAAGAAGCTAATTTGGCTCCTCTCATCTTGGAAACCCTAGATTCTACCCCACGGCAAAACCAGACAATACGAGCATCAGGGCAATTTTGAAAGTCCAGAGAGTCACGACGTTGCTCTGGTTTAGACAGGCGGCTGGCTGGGAGGCGACATGTGCCAGGATGGGACGTGGGCAACGCTGCCTGTGAAACTCCCACCCAGGTCCTTCCGGGACTGCGCCCCACCCACCAAGAGAACCCTAAGAGATTCCTGTCCTTAGGAATTCATCATTATGCACCCCCCTTGCCCCACCCCACCACAGTCCTCGGGAAGTGGCACCCTCAATTGTACCCACTAAGTACCTCCTCAAATGGGCAGCAATCAAGGATGACCCTCTAAAGGAGCCCCTGGTTTCTAGCCTCCTACCTCCCCTCCCTTCTTCGACTTCCCTTTTCCCCACACCCAGCAACTTCCTGCCCGTTCCTGTTCCTCCCATCCAAACATCTCAGCATCTTCCTTTAAGTGGAAATGATTGACAAGAGCATAAATTCCCACGCTTTCCTGTAGGGGTTATGTTTTCACAGAAATCAGAGCGGTAAACTGGGGAGACATTAAAACGAGCTAGGAGCTGACCAGCTTGGTAAGAGGCAAGGTGGGCAGCCCACTCAGGTCAGGCAGGGCCCACCTAGATAGGGTCTCGCTCAAGCTCTGCTCTCAAGAGGTGGGTACTTCAGTGAGAAGAAGGTGAGCCCGGCCAGAGTTGAGGAGGAAAGCAGGCATTCGGGTGTCTGGTGAAAGGGTTTTCCAGGAGACAGAGCGGAGCCCTTTTAGCCTCTGCTTCTCTGCTGAGTACTGCATGGCCCAGAAAGCAGCAAGGAGTTATCTTATTAGCTTGTGTTAATACATTGATCTGGTTCCTCTCTTCTCAGAAACCCTGGATCCCAGACTCTAGATAGAGCAGACAATATCAGTTTAATTTCGGAAGTCCAGAGAAACAGGTAATAAAATAACTCGATGTTGCTGTTTTTTGGACCTCCATCCGGGCTGAGGGAGCCCAGGGCCAAATCTCTCTCCAGGCAGGATTGAGACTAGGATGAAACAAACAAGATTCCCAGGATGCAAAATTTAAGGTGATCATGCTCAGGGTCCTATGAGGCTGTCACCCTGATCCGGGCCCTGCTTCGAGGCATCTTTTCTAAAACAGCTGCTCGGGACCATCCAGGCCTTTCCCGGAGGTGACAGCCCAGATAACACCATGGAAAACCCTAATGGGACACTTAAGGAATATGGTTGGATAAAAGCGGGGTGGAGGTGGGGTTGGGGGAAACCTTTCAAATGTCTGTTTCCCGCTTGGCTTTCAAGGTATGCCATAAAAATGCTGAAAGAGAGGAGTAAGGGAGAAAACAGCCCTGCTTCCATTTTCAGCCATTCTAGCACGTATTTTTAATACAACTTGATTTTTTTTCCCCTTGTAGGCTGTATGTGGACATGCCTGCATGTGTGTTTATGTGTGAATATAGCTGGCGAGCCATTTTCGATGGATGGATGGATGGAAAATCAAAGACCTTTTTTTTTTTTTTAATTTAGAGGTGGCAAATAAAATGTATTTATTATCCGTTATCTCCTGCCTAGTGGGTGGTGTCATTTATTTTCATTCAGAGAAATGAATGCCATGTGGTGCCTGAAGAGTAATCACAGAGCCCAATGACAGAGAAGAAATGAGGCAAAAAGCTGGCCCAACAATGCGCAGGTGAGGGGCCCCAGCCGCCTGTCATTAACGGGGCCATGCGGCCAACTGCCTTCTCCTTCCTTTCCCTTCCACTTCGCCACGCAGGTGAAGGGTGGGCCGCAGGGGCAGTTACAAAGTCATTGTAAGGAAGAGCAGGCAGGGCCAAATTAGCAACACTGTGGGACCTGATTTTCTTTTCATTATAGTTTTGTTTTGCTTTTTTCAATCCAAGCCCCTTGGACTGTTCTCTCAAGGCTGGAGAGTGGGAGGGAGGGGGCGAGCCGAGTCGGGTCTGAATGTTAGAAGACTGGGGTCCAAGTCCCAGCTCTGCCACCCACGAGCTCTATAATTTGGGGCAATTGCACCTTCTCAGTGACACTCTCTTCTCACCTGACCCATTTACCTCCAAGAGATCGGGTGACATTCAAAGGAGAAGCTGTCTATTCATGCGCTTGGAAACTCTAAGTAAGTGCAACACACGAGCAGAGAATTAGCGCTCCTCTTCAAAACTACACTCTTTTTTTTTTTTAATGGCACAATGCAGGGAGGGTGGGAAGGTTTTCTGTTGTGTCGACTCTTCTCCATGAAAGCCACTGGGAAAGACAGCCTCTTGAACATCTCCAAGTGGGATTCTGCATCAGGTACGAATCTTTCTGACTCTCTTACCTCCCCCATCCTCTGCCAGCTGGTCAGGGGCAAAGAGAGACACGAGCGCTCTCCTGCTGACAGTGGATCTGGATGTTACCCCCCACCGGACCCCTAGTCCGGTGTGGAAGCCCGGTGGGTCATTGCCTGGCCCCACGGCCACATGAGGGAGAAGCTCACTGGCATATTGTTTTGTGAAGCTCAAGTTGCAAGGAGGCTGTTTGGTGGCATTTGGTTGTGGTTTATTGAGGGGTCTGAGGAGAAAAATATTGGCTCATCTCTCACGACTGGATAAAAGGGCCAGATTTAATAGGAGAGAGGAGAAGAAATCCTTAAGTTTCCCTTTACTTAGCTACCACCATTTTATTAGCCTAGGAACAGAACTGCTATTTAAGTTGATAAAAGCCAGATTTGTTCATTAAATAAATTACCAGAGCCTGGTGGTGCTATGGAGACATTCCCCGCCCCCCACAAGAGCGGGGGGGCCCCCACCCCTGGGTTTTGTGCAGAGCCCCTGCGCAGGATGAAAACCACAGGCAGTCAACAGCTTAAAAACCTAAATTGTGGCGCCACCTGCAGGAGAGTAGAAATATCAACATTATCCCAACTCGGCAAAGACTGAGGGAAGAGCCCTGCCTGCCTGGGCAATGGCATTGGGCTGGATGCCGAGGCCAGGGCTGCAGACCGAAGAAAGGCCCCAGATCCCCACCGACCCCTGCTGTCTCTGTGTGACCACACTTCCCGCGTACACTCTGGCCACCTTCCATCTGCACCCCCCTTGAAAGCTGCCCTTTCGAGTTACCAACAGCTGCTCTGAAGGTGCTCAGTCCACTGAAACTGATTCTTCTGTTTCCTGAGGGGGTGAAGGAAGCCTCTAACCCAAGGGGCAGAGAAATGACTGTCCCTGGAGGAGGGGGGCATGGAGCACGCCACAGTTCCTGACTGAACCTCCGACTCGGTGGCTGGGCACTGGTAGCAGACCCAAGCTTCTGCCCCAGGCGTCGCTAGCCTGTGTGTGCTGGCAAGGACTCCAGGACGTCAGCCTCTGCATTTCCACTCCCAGCCTTCTCCCACTCTGCGATGCTTGGCCACCGCTGACACCCCTTCCCTCTCTCCTCCTGCTATGTCAGGGACCCCCAGTGGTGGCTGTGCTTAGGAACAAGTCTCATCACGTTATCCCCCATGGGTCTTTTCATGCAAGTCCGCGGCCCGCAAGACGTGTGATAAAAAGACATCTCTGCCTCGCGTCCACTCGGTCAGCCCTGCTGCTTGACTGCGACTTCCCGAACCACACCACGGAGCAAGCGCCAAGGCTGGGGGGCGGGGTGCTTATGTGGGCCCTGAGGCAGCTCCCACACCTCCTGTGGTCCTAGTCTTACTCCCAGTCCTCCCTAGGCCCTTTCTCTGCAACACCCTCTCCAGAATTCTCCCTTCCCTTTCAGCTAACAAACCTGTCTTTTCAAACGTAGGAACCAGGAGTCTGAAGACACAGTGGGGAGGCGGTGAAAGAAGGGAGGGCTTGTGACCTAACTTTATTGGTCAGAAACAGCTGAGTCCCAGTTCTGGCCGGTTCCGTACCTTGCTACAAGGAAATGTAAACACTTCACTGTG